TATCAGTGACTTCAGATGTTGGTTTACTCTATAGACTAAGAATCTGAGGGCACATGTAGAGTTGTATGGCGGCTCTGCTCCTCAGGGTCCTCAGGGATGAAAGCTGCTAGCTCCTAGCTCCACTCACCTTTATCTTCATGGCTAGGTGCAGAATGGAAGAAAAGACGAAGAGAGAGAAGTAAAGGTGAGCTAGCTGTCTCTTAAGGAAAGTTCTCAGAGGTAGTCCCCTGGGTGAACTCTAATTACATAGCCACATCTATTGCAAGGGAGACAGGAAAGAAATGTAGTTTTCACGCAGGGCAGCCAAAAGTTCTGTTGCCATAAAAGCAGAAAGGACTGATATTGGGGGACAACTAGTGGCCTCTATCACCCTCAAGTCCATTCAGTTGTTAGGTAATATCTGTTACTATTTTGCTTCTTCTTTTGACCATTTATAAATCAGGTTATTTTCCTATTGTTGAGTTTTAAGAGTTGTTTGTTTTGATAACAGACTTATCCTTTACTAGGTAAGTCTTTTGCAAATATTTTCTCTTGTCTTCTTTTTCTCTGGAGACATCATTGTTTTTACTCAAGAAAAATGTAAATTCACTACAGACGTAAAGATACAGAATAATCATCATAACTTTGTTTATGAATAGATAAATCTCAGCATTTAGTGAGAAATCATTACAACTATGACATGTATTTAGAAGGTGAATATGTGACTGACAACTATTGGATGAACATGAACTTTGGGTAACATTCTGAAATATTTTTGGAACATTTGGTAATGTGACAAATATTTAAGATGAAAATTATTTTTAAAGTGTCCTTTTTAGATGAAGTCTTCCAAAAGCCAGTGAAGTATCACAATCTGTGTTCCCAAACTGATTAATCAGAAAATGTTCAAAATTGTTTAAATATTATCATTGCATTCATTGAATACTGCTATATTTCCTAGCAGCCCCCCCTCCTTAGAGCTAGCTATTTATTGCTAGCAAAGATGAGCAATTAGAAAATTTATTAATTTGCTTTTTATCAGGTTGTAGGTAAGGATAATAATTCATTTTAGGGACATTTGCTGTTTTTGTAAGTGTAACTACATATGAGTACTCCAAGTTCTAAAATTCTTTTATTTTCTATTAGGATAATCCAGAATTTCAAAAACCAACAACTGTAACTATAGTAGATTTTGTGTTATGTTTACTGATGCTAAAAAGAGAAATAGAAATGGATTCACTACCTAATTTTTCTCTAGCTCCAATTCTTATTATTTTTTTTTCCCAACTCTGACCTTTAGTGCAGTTTCGCAGTTGTGGTAGTGACTGCAGTGGGCCGTAGTTTAATGAAGGATTTTTTTCTTAACTGCTGAGAGTACAGGCAGCAGATGGCCTTTACCTGTCAGCTTCTTCAGGGATGGCTGATTGTTTACCATTCTGTTCCTTTCTAGGTATTAGTCGTAAATCAGTTTTCCTAAATCATCAGTTATATAAAATCAATACTCTCTATTTGAGAATCCCTGGTGGCTTTGTATTTTGTAAAATCTGGAAATGTTATTTCACGGTTTTATAAGTGTTTTTCCAACTTGTAAACTCCTGGGATCGAGACTTGTACTTGCTACACAATCGCAGGCGATGTCAATGATAGAAGCCCAACGTGTTAAGACTCCAAATGTGTAAATCGGAAGTGATTATGTAAATGTTAGCCTCAGAAATTTATATTTAAAAATGTTTAAAGACACCAAATTGGTTAACCTCTTATTTCATATCATTGGCATTATACTCTTTTAGGGGTTTTTTTTGAGACAGAATCTCACTGTGTCACCCTTAGTACAGTGCTGTGGCGTCAAGAGCTCACAGCAACCTCCAACTGTTGGGCTTAAGCGATTCTCTTGCCTCAGCCTCCCAAGTACCTGGGACCACTGGCGCCCGCCACAACACCTGGCTATTTTTTGGTTGCAGTTGTCATTGTTTAGCAGGCCCGGGCTGGGCTTGAATCAGCCAGCCTCAGGGGATGTGGCTGGCGCCCTACTCACTGAACTACAGGTGCCAAGCCTACTCTTTTAATTTTTGATTCTCAAGTATTTCAGTAAATTGTAGAGAATGAAAGATGAAAATTTAAGTGATTAACAATAAATGTGTTATTTAATTAAATTCATTGTTTCCTTTTCTCATGGTAAATTGGTAATATTTCAGAATGTAATTTATAAAATAACAAGTTAGCATCAAGATTTCATGTTCAGTAAACATTTGTATTCTGAAATACTTAGTATTTTTTGCTGATTTCCTTAAATCAGGATGCACAAAAATTTTGTCAGTTACCAATAGCATGTTGCCAGAGTTAAGGAAAGTTGTTAATAAGAGAGTCCTCAGAATTAATTCTCCCAATGGATAACTGCAAGCGTTAGGAAACAGAGAAAGGTGATAATTTCAGGAATAATTCTTTAAGAAAATAATTTTCTTTATCCTTTCCTAAAGAAAACCTTTGCTTTTAATGGCATAAAGCAAGAATATGCCTAAAAACAGACATCTGGAAAGTTTATCTTATTTGAAGAATCCATAGATCATTAAAAATGAGCCCATAACATTGTCTTAGTATGAGTAGTCTTATTTAAACATCAAAAGTTAATAGAGTAATTAAGCTTTTTTTCCTGCATAAAGAAACAATAAAACTAAACAACCTCTGTGATATATGCACAAAACAAACTATCTCTCTATTTTATAGGAGGATCTGCCTTATAGCTCAGCCTAGTCACATTACAAACACAAGCTGACGTATTACAAACCCACTGCTGTTGAAAAAAACATTTTAGGTTCTACACTCTAAAAAGAATACATGATTAGCAACCATACTTACTAGAGATCCTTTCTGGAACCTGGGTAGAACAGTCTTCTGAATTTAATTTATCACAGCATAATTGGAGATGCTAAAAGAACCCAAGTTTCCAATAGGAAAGGATGTGAGCCCCCTTCACAATTAGGTAGAAACTGCTAGAGTTCTCACAGAGCTTTCCAATGGCCTAGACTAAGAGCCCCAGAGAAGCTTTCCTATAGGAAAATGACATTTGTGGGCTAGGTACAGTGGCTCATGCCTGTAATCTTGGCACTTTGGAAGGGCTAGTGAGAGGACAGCTTGAGGCCAGGGGTTTGAGACCAGCCTGAGCAAGAGCAAGACCATGTCTCTAAAAAATAGAAAAGCTAGCCAGGCATGGTTGTGCATGCCTATAGTCCCAGCTATTTTGGAGGCTGAGGCAAGAAGATCCCTTGAGCCTAGGGATTTGAGGTTCAATGAACTATGATGACACCACTTTAGCCCAAGTGACAGAGGAAGACCCTGTCTCAAAATATAAAAGAAACAAACAAAAGACATTGTGGCAGCCTGCCAGTTATTTTCCAATGTCCATTTTCCCCTTCTTCAGCAATAGTATGGCTCCCGTCTGTTATCTGGGGCTATAACCATCCAGAATAAAGTCTGCTAGTTTGGACTGCAATAAGTTGTGCCATTAGAATAAGAGCTGTCCAGTGGTATGTAAGGAGAAGTGGAGTATGCAATTTTGGGAAAGTGTTCTTTGTTTTTTTTTTAAGTTGTTTTTCAGCCCAATCCCTACTTAAGCGAGGGAAGTGTTCTTAAGGGAAGGGGTACAATACAACCTTCTTCTCTTTCTTCTTTTCAGCCAGGATGTGATGTTGGTGCTGTAATAGCCATCCTTAACTATTAGGGTGACCTTGACAATGGAAGTCAAACACATCAAAGCAATAAGATAGAATTCACTTGTATCACCCACACCCAGAAATTTACATTGATCAAAATTCTGACTACTGCTTAAATGTACTATACTTTCTATATAGTTACACAATGGCTATAGAGCTACTGTGGTAATATGCTTGCTTTCAGATTTTTGTCAGTAAAAGTTAGTTTTAAAAATTGTGTCTGTCTTATTGTTCTTAACTAGAGGACATAGTTTGTAGCTATGGAACAGAGAGGTTAGACTAGGATCAGATCTTTAATTGTGACTTCATTACTATAAATTAGTTAACAGAATTTACATAAACAAGTCTTGTAAGAGACCCAGAATTTTAAGTTAGAATTACATTTTTAATGAATTTATGTATTGTTTATTAACATTTCATTTATAATCCAATTTTTATTGCAGTATTTTAAATTGGAAAATTGTATTTTAAATGTCTTCTCTTTAAATTAAAATCATTTGGCTTTGTTTTCGCAACAACCATAAGTCCATATTTCTTTGTCTCTTTCCGTAAAATTCCTATTCTTCTTGCTTTCACTTTTATGTACTCAGTAACCAAAATACTTAATGTTCTTTGAAAGTTCTAGTTTCCAGTTTAAAAAATCTCCTTTACTGCTCTCTTCTGGATTCTCTTCTATTTATTCCAAGAATTGACCTTCATATTTGACATAAAGACAGTCATTGATGCCCCTGGAAAGGTGGAGGAAGCCTTTGGGATGAAGATAAGGGGAGTTCAAAGAGTGACTGTGGACCACTTCAACAAGATTTTCCCGAGAGTCTATAACCAGAATTTCCTGTGTTGATGAGAAGGATTTGCTAGAAAGGGAATTTCAGGAGCAACTTAACAAGACAGACATTATTATATGCCATGCATAGTGCTCTATCCTGCAGGGATACTACTCAAGTCTCAAGTGTTCAGCGCTCGGCAGTTACAATCTAGTGGGCAGGTTGGGGTGAAATAGGGAACACACTAGGTTCACAAAATCCTGGTACAGTAGCAAGTCCAGGATAAATGAAGGAATGAATGATGTATGAATCAATAGGTAGCAGTGAGCTCCTCGGGGAGGTCGACCTTGTCTTGCTCATCTCTGAACCTCGGCCTGGCGGTGGAGCCCTTCGGCGCGGCGGAGGTACCCTCAGGGCGCGCGACTGGCTGGCTGCCGGGATTGCACGGGCAGGGACGCAGATTGCGACTCAAGCCTCTCTCCGGGCGTGACGGCTCCGGGCGGTAGGGGGCGCTGGCGCGCGGCAGGGCTAGGTCCCCCGGCGCCGCCCGCGCGCAGCCGACCGTCCCGGACGCCATGCGCGCGCTGCTGCCGCTGCTGCGCTCCGGCCGGGGGTGGCGCGCGGACGCCCCCTCTGCGGCCTGCCTGTGGCGGGGCGCGAATGCGGTGACCGGGCCGCGCCGCGCCATGGCCCTGTACCGCACGGAGGAACGCGGCCAGCCCTGCTCGCAGGATTACCGCCTATTCTTCAGTAAGTAGCTCGCGGAGGTGCGCCGCGCGGCGCGCAGCGGGGACCTGGGCGGGGGAGGGGGTGGGGAGCATCCGCGCCGCCCTGCGCGGTCGGCTTCATTCCCTCTGCCCTCCCCTACCCAATTCCAGCCCTCGACGGTCGCCTGAGGTCAACTTCCCGCACGCGGGGGTTCGCGCCGAGCCACGGGAGCTGCCAGCAGGGGGGCGGCAGACCGAGACCCCGGACGCGGAGCACAGAGACGCAGGGCGGCGGGTGGCCTCGGCGCCATGTCACCCTCTGCGGGACCAACAGCCCCCTCTGAGCGGTGGGCGGAGCGCGCGCGGCCGCCCCGCCGCGGCCCGCTGCCCTCCCGGATTCCTGGCCGCCGCTCGGGTTCTCAGCGCTTAGTTATGAAAAGAGGGCGCGGAGCCGGCCTCCCTTCCTGATGGCGTCAGAAAGCTCCTCCTCGCAACCGCTACCTACCAGCTGGAGAGGCAGGCAGAACTTTGGGGCTGTTGCTGTGATCGAGAGTCTCTTAGGTTTCCTGAAATTGAACAAGCCCAGGGGGCAAAGCGACCTGCTTGGACGCTGAGCTGCCCAACTAAGACAATCTCCGTGACTTTCATTTTTCTTTGCACCCGGAAGCTTCCCTGTGTGGATTAGCTATTAACGTGAAATTGCTTCATGCCCTCTTCCAGAGCCCTGATGAGTGGTAGTAGTAGCTGTAAAGTGCGCCTTGCATTCTGGCGCGTCTCTTAGGAGCACTGACTCTGGACGTTTTCAGATTTAAGCTCGAATCCTGGATTCTTTATCTTTTAGCTCTGTGACCCCGGGAGAGTTTCTTTTTTTTTTTTTTTTT